ATAGAATAAAGAAGTATAAGGACTAAACCACATTTATTAATTTGACCTAATAAAATACAATAAATATTAAAAAAAAGAGAAAAAGTGCGCACACTCAAAAAAATATATATATATATTTCAGTATTCATATTATTCTTTATAGTATATTACATTACACACATTGTACTACACAAATAAACAAAAATATTGTTAACATTGATGTCATAAGAAACACAACCTTTTACATCATTATTGTTGTTTGTTGAATTAGCCCCTAGTAATAAACTAGTAGCTGGGTATTTTTACAATCGGTTCTTGAAACAAGTGTAATTCGGAGGAGCTGAAAGGGAATTTGAGATCATAAGAGCACGAGTGTTATTTTTGTTCTATCTTTAATATCGACATTTTTTATTTTTTATTTTTTTATTTATTTATTTTTTAAAGTTAATAGTACATGATACTGCCATTTTGTATAACAAAAGAAAAAGAAAACTTATAACATAATTATAAAAAAAGGGGGGAAACAGAAATTAATATTAACAAGTAAAAAAGCTAAAGTCGGGTGTCCCGACTTTGAAATACTCTGTACAATAATTATAGAAAATAAAAAAAATTAAGAAAATAAAATAAAATTCAATGATCGATTTTACCTTTCTCAGTATTCGAACTCACGTAAAGGGTGTATAATTGCATATTTACATAGCAATTGCGTCTGTGTGAGTGTATGTATGTATGTATGTAAGCATATGTGCAGTCAACCAAAGCACCAGCATCAACAACAGCCGCGGGCAGCGCTTGAGCAGCGCTGCAGCAGCAAATATATTTATGGCTATAACTTCTTGGTAAATCAGTCTAGTTAGAGAAAATCGCATTTGCATGGGAGAGGGGGGAGGGAGGGAAATTCCAAAATATACAATTTCTGCGTATTCACACAAGGCATCTTAGACTAAAATTTGGTGTTCCTAGGTCTTATAGTCTCCGAGATATAGGCGATTATACGAATGGAAATTCGGTAAAACCCCCATAGGGGGGAAGTGGGGGGGGGAATCAAAAAATAAAACAAACTCGTATAGAATACACACATAAGGCATCTTTGTGCAAAATTTTGTGTCTCTGTCTCTTATAGTCTCTGAGATCCAGGTGTTCATACGGACGGACAGACGGACAGACAGGGCTAGATCGACTCGTCTTGTCACGCTGATCAAGAATATATATACTTTGTGGGGTCTGCCACGCTTCCTTCTGCCTGTTACATTTTTCAGCTCCCGCAAACCTAATATACTTCTGTACATTTCATGTACAGAGTATAAAAATGTAGTAATACAGTACTAATCTTAATCGGGTATTTTAGTCGCCGAAATAGGCCGACTCACAGCGAGTGATTAGTATTGCATTAGTGCAAGTGTATTTAATGATGATTAGTTAAGTAAAAAAGGATGTTACTGCTAAAGTTACTAGGGGATTGTATAAAAGAAATTAAGGTGTGATTTTAGTTTTTATAGCCTGTACCCAAAGGGTGAAAGGCTATACTAGTTTTGTGCGCATGTATGTAACACACAGAAGGAGGCGTGGCAGACCCCACAAAGTATATATATTCTTGATCAGGATGAGAAGCCGAGTGGATATAGCCTTGTCCGTCCGTCTGTCCGTCTGACCGTCTGTCCGTATGAACGCAAGGATCTCAGAAAGTATAAGAGCTAGAATAACCAAACTTGGTTTCCATATTCTCCTAAGACCGAGAAAGTACGAGTTTGAGTTTTTTTTCGATGCACCCCCCCCCCTCCCCCACTCCCCCGCAATTCGTATTTTTTTTCATTACTTCCGTAATTCTCTGAATTTTGAAATCAATTTTGGTAGGTACATCCAGTTAGTACTAATGTGCCCGTGTGCCATTTCATCATGATAGATCAATTCTGAAGAAAGTTATAGCCATAAGTAAAATCGCTGCTCATGCGCTGCCTGCAGCTCTGTCGGCAGCGCTGCCCGCAGCTGTTGTTGTTGCTGCTTTGGTTCAACTTTGTGCTGCATACATACACGCATAAAAACACGCATAGGTACGTGATGTAAATGTATGCTGTTAAAACTGAACATAAACATGTATTCTAATTTAATTTAATTAATTAATTAATTCATTCATTTTTTTTAATAATTTAATTTTTTTTTAATTTTTGTTTTTTGTGGAGAGTGCAGGCTATTTTACTGTCGGGCTTGCTCGACTGTAGCGTTCTATCTTGTTTGAATTTTTAGAAGTGCTTGGGGCTGAGGCAGATGATTGGGAGGATGTACGCGACTTTTCTCTCCTTTCATATTCGTGCACAATAGTATGCGCAGGCCAAATAACAGGATCAACAACTTTAGAAAATAGTGACTCAGGCAGGTCAACTTTGAACGAGGAGTAGCTTCTTTTCTGTTTAAAATTGAACTTTCTAACAATTAACTCGGTTGAATCAGTAAGCAGAAGGTGGTTAGTAATATGGAATTTTAAATCAAGTTCAGAGGTGTTAGGTAAGAATCGCGAAATAAAAATAGATTTTTCAATAATGCAGGTGCTGCGATAACAGAAGGGGCGAAATAGTGGACAAGGGCATTGGCTGGACAGCATGAAGTTGTGATGGGTTGCCATCAGCAGCACCGGCAGACATCTGATAACAGGCGCGATGATTAAGATCATTAACAGATGCAGCAGCTAGTTCCTTAGAAAGATCAGACGAAGTTGACGGACGAATGTCTGTTTGAATATTGTTACACTGGGCCAATAAAACCTCCGCTGTAGCAATTGGAGTAGTTGTGGTAACATTTGTAGAAATTCCCTTTTCTGATTCAGCAACTAAATCTGTGGTAGTGGTAGTAGTGACAGAGGCACCAGGTAAAAGAGGAGACGATGGTTGCCGTGACCAAGGGATTCCATCCGAGTTCATTAAAGAATTATCAGTTTGAAGGGACCGTGCAGAAGCATCAAACGTAGGCGACAATATGAGCAAGTTTGGCGTAGTAGCTCGGTCAGGAACATTATTATTATCAGAATCAGTCAGCGAGTTACGTTTATTCCTTTTAGGAGACTCAGGCAGAAGTTGTAATCCGTTTAGAAAGGAGTCGAGAGCATTAAATTTGGAGGCAAGCGATCTGAAGTCATCATTTATATCCTTAAGTCCATTCCTGGTTTGTGCCATGAAAGTTCGCATCTCCATTTTAATAGGTCTGCAATCCAGACAAGTCCAATTGAGTCCCATGCGTAGCGAAATAAAATCCAATACGCGTCCATTAAGTCCTGCGCATTTAACATGCGACAAGTTATTGCAAAGCCAGCATGATAAAAACTGATCGGTTGCAATTTTGTTTTTAAACGCACAATTTTTTATGCAGCAGAGGGCACGTGTATAGTCCACACGGTAGAAGTATAGGCAGAGACAACAAAAAGCAAAAAAAAACACGGGTGTTTGTTGATAGCGCGGTTAGCAGAGATTTTAAATCGAGTGATTTTGTGTTGTTGTTTACGCGTTCAAGCACAGAATGCAAGAATGCAACAACAATTACAGAGAAAACTGCGGCGCAAACAATATTAATTATTGGGGAATATATAAAATCACTGTCTTTCACAAGGCGATATTTAATAACAACTCCAAGCGGGAGTTGAGCCCGTGAGTTATTTAAATGGTAAAAAAGCTCGGAACTTAAAATGAAAATTAATAAAAAGCGGAGCTAAGTAAAAACACGACCAAATGCAAAGACAAGCGAAAGCTTTTTTGTAAGAGTTTATATACAGTATTTGAGCTTGCGTTGGTCTAGTTATTTCTAAAAGGTGATTCTTAAAATAAATCGTTGCGGGGTGTCTTATGCAGCTAGCTGAGTCGGTGCATGCATATCCAGCGTAGGTGTAGGTAGACGTGGCACCCGGTTGGTGGTTGTTTTGTGCACATGAATAGCTGCCTGCGTTGACTTTATATGCGTGGCCCATGCGTAGCTCATGGTACGGTCAAGTGCGTGTGACATTGACAGTACGATGAACTTCAGCGCTATGGGGCATATATGAACACGTGAAACCATTAAAAACCTACACATTCCAATGTTACGTTATTTCTCTAAAAGGGGAGGGGTAGCGACAACTGTCACCTCACGTATGGAGACTTCACTGTTTGCCAAAGGCAACAGTAATAACAAGGGTTCACCAAACGGGTCAGTAAAACTGCATGATAAGCATAAAGGGCAGTCGCGTGGTATGAGCCACCTGACGCTCACTTTAACGGTACATTTACTTCACCCATAGCTTCTACTTCGCATATCGTACTCGCCTCACTTTTCACAATACTTTTTTAATTTCCCTCCCTTTGCCCTCTCCTCTAATTAGTGATTGCCGTAACTCCCGCAATTATTTTAATTTGGAACTCAAATTTGGCAATAACTTTCAATTAGTGATTATGTGTCAATGATAAGGCCAATACGAAAGGAAGATTTAACCGTAAATGTAATATCTGCGGAAGCTCTGCCAGTAGCTGCTGCTTTGGCACAACTCTATACTGAACACATGCTCGCACACAAACAAGCATAGACGTAGGTAGAGTCTTGCAAAATCGGGGCACCCAACTTTAGCTTCTCCAGTTGTTATACACTGTACCCGTAGGGTAAAAAGGGTATATTAGGTTTGTGCAAAGTATGTAACATGCAGAAGGAAGCATCTCCGACCCCATAAAGTATATATACTCTGAATCAGCATGACGAGAGAAATCGATCTAGACATGTCCATCCGTCCGTCCGTCTGTCCGTCCGTCTGTCCGTCTGGATGAACGCAAGGATCTCAGAAACTATAAAAGCTAGAATAACCAAAGAAAGGACGAGTTTATTATTTTTTTTTAATTCAATCAAGTGGCAAGATCTTGTTTTCAATAGATTTTCTTCAGCTGCAGAGTTTTGGTATTAATTCCTAGACATCGTGTTTCCCTTATCGCTCTCTGCAGTGACAAATAGCATATTACGTAGCATTAAATCTTTAAGGAATGCTGAAAAAATAAATTTCTATTAAACAATTTACGTATAAAAATCTTTTATTAAGAATTTGTATCTTATGCTATGGATAGACATCTTTGAGATACAAAATATCATATTGTGAGCCGCTAGAAATATTATATATACAAGCCACTTTGTTGATGAGGTAAAACGATTCCGATTTAACATATTACTTTTTTTGTCACGAATTGTTATGAACGAATATGGAAAAGTATTAAAATACTCAATATGGTACAGATGAAACAAATTAATACAGGCAAAATCACAACAAAGCGAAACCTGAAAATGGTTAAAATCATTAGAGAGATTAAATTAAAGATGGAAAACATACCTCCCATGGCCAAGCTCTGGGTGTCAAAGGTTTAAATCAATCTCAGCTTCCAAGTCAATATGATTGATGGAGTTTACAGTGCTATTAAAGATTTGATTTTCAATGGTGCTGCCGTCACCATAGACCCCAGTTCCGGTCTCTATGCGCCTGGATTTACCTAAGAAGAAAGAAAACACTTTTTCGAAATACTTATTAATATAGATATGACTTAGGTCTTTTCTAAGAATAAGTGATATATATATAAACACAAACTTAACATTATATCTCATTATACCCAGTACCCGTAGGGTAAAAAGGGTATATTAGGTTTGTGCAAAGTATATAACATGTAGAAGGAAGCATCTCCGACCCCATAAAGTATATATATTAGCGAAACAAGTTCACTCCGGTACTACGCCCGCAAGCTGCAGCATCAAGTTCGCTCTTCTTCTTCGTTTTGCTTCTGCTAGAGTCGCATGTACCTCAGTGTCAGAAGTTTACCTGGGTACATGGTATTATGTCGGACTTGCTCGAATATAGCGTTCTCTCTTGTTACCCTTCATTCTCCATGTGTAGTATGTTTTTCAACTTTGGTAAAAAAATAAAAATGAAACAAGTAGAGAAGTCCCGACTTTGAAATACTATTAACATACAAGTATGTGTAGAATAATTATGCGTGTATGTTTGTGTCTGTGTATCTTAACAACAACAGCTGCGAGCACTGCTACATATATGGCTATAACTTCCTGTTAAATCGGCCTAATTATATGAAACTTGGCATACGACTTCATAACTACTCACTGGAAAGACTTTTAGAATTTCAATCAAAAATTTGGAGAATTACGGGAACAAAACCATTTCTTACTGTTTGCTCTTCGGAGTCTAAACTGGGACCCGCCAAGCCGCTTGCCTCCTCATAGGTCCACATTAAAACTAATAGACCTACCTTCCTTACATCACCGGAGATTTTTTTCAGGAGTAACCCTCCTTCACAAACTTCTTTCTGGTGATATAGATTCCCTTTTCCTTCTTAGCCTTGTAGACTTGGCTCAGGGGAACCTGGATAACAAGTTTGGAAATTCTAGCTCTTGTACTTCCTGAGATCCTTGCGTTCATCCTGACGGTCAGATGAACGGACGGACGGACATGTCTAGATCGATTTATCTCTTCATGCTGATTCAGAATATATATACTTAATGGGGTCGGAGATGCTTCCTTCTGCATATTACATACTTTGCACAAACCTAATATATCCTTTTTACCCTACGGGTACAGGGTATAAAAATGTTATATATGTTTGCACGACTTTATTCCATTTAACACGATTCAAAATAACATATCTTGTTTTTTTTACAAGGTTTTTTTTACACGACTTTTTCTGGAACCAATCACCGTGTAAAAACAGAATTAGGTGTATATGAACCGCAAATTGAGAACACCAATTTTTTATTGAAAACAAGTGGAAAAGCTAAAGTGGGATGTCGCGAATTGAAATACTCTGTACATAAGTATGTATGTGTGGAATAAATACAAAAATTTTAAAAATTTAAATTGAAAATTTATTTGCACGCGCTATATATTACTTGCTCCTTTATTCTTCCTTCTTCTGATATTCAAGTTTATATGCTACAGCGATTCTGATGTAAATGTATGCTGTTGAAACTACTGTACATGAACATGGGTCCACTTTTGTATATATGTTTTGAATAATTTGTATTTAATTTAATTAAATTATTTACTATAATTAATATAATTTTTTTAAATAAAATTAAAAATTTTTTTTTTTGTAATTTTTTCCATTTTGGTGGAAGGTACAAAGTGTTTAAAAGTTGAGCTCACTCGACTTTAGTATTCCTTTCTTGTTTTTTTTTATAAATCTCAAAACTGAAACTAAAAAATCCCATGGATGTTTTTCATAAATATTTATATTTTCGGATGGGAGCTGCTCCCAATTTAGAAACAAATTTATATTATCAAGCCAACCTCATTTTGTAAAGGAATTTGGATGTTCCTCATTTGAAAGTAACTTTTTCCCAGCTCACATGGAAAGGGAGCGGTTTATGTGGTCGAGCAGTTATTTGAAGGAAAGTCTGGGAGATAACGAAATACATTTAATACTTGTCATCTTAAAAACTTTATTAAGCCCTTTTCATATATTTTTGTAAAAAAATTTAAACGGTCCGGTGCGATATGTCCCGTTCAAATCCGCTTAAAAATTACTTGCACAAAATGTATAAATAATTTGTGGATAGAATGAAAAGCATTTTTAAGAGACATCAATGCAAAACTTTTATACAATATTGCATCAAGTTTCGCTCAAATCTGGGTTTGAGCTGGTGGCCGCATAAACCACTTCTGAATTTATCGCGTGGGAACATCGTGCTTTTTTGTCATTATCTTGCAAACGAAAAAGCTACCCAAAATCAACCTTAGCACCAATTATAGGGCTAGTTAAGAGCTGTAAGTTAAGCCCATTAACAAACAAAAAATGTCGTTTTCATTCGATTTTTTTCACTTTAAATGTGTACGACTGTCCCGTGCGACATCGTGGAAATGCCCAAATAAATTTTGTATGCATATGTATGTATGTATATCGGTCCTTAAAATTGGACTACCATATACACATGCAAACAGGTATAAATTAAATATCGACTTTCTCCTAATTATTCCATTCACAAAGAATAATTTGTGTATCCATCACCGTGCATACGGATTCGTGTTTTTTTTACAGTCAATTACGTGATCGTGCTGTGACGGGCCAAAAAAGCCAACATATGCTTATCACTAGCATCTCAGCTGCTCGCATATTTACAAGCGGTTCACCGTTTCACATTTAAGTGTTGAATTGCAAAATTGAATACATATACGTCCAGGCGTCCCGATTTTTTAAACAAAATTAAATATCCCGAGCGGGACATGCTCAGTCCCGCATTTCTGGGATTACTCGGCCGTGCGTTCAGCGTTCTGAGGAAGAGCGGGCGGGTGGCACAGACAAGTGTGGACTGGCCGCCCGCCCGGCGCTGATTACGATTACAATTACTATCGAAGGAATAACGAATACTGTTTGTCTTAGTTTGTTTGTTTTAGCTTGAAAAGCAGGGAGCAAGTAGTAAGTGGCGTTGCGTACGTAATTTAGTTTAATTACATTAAGCAAACAAAAGTGTACGTTTTTTTCGTTTTTTTCGTATAATAGAGTTTACTTATTAAAATCGTTTAAAGATGAATGAAAGCGATAGTGATGTTTCGGATTGCTGAGAACTGGAAAACATTGAACCCAAGAAGGTAAAACTAGAAAAACGTCGGCTCACGAAATACAGTACAAATTGGCAGAATTATTATAATTGGTTGTGTATTGTGACGTCGGATGTATAATAAGCTTACTGTAAACTTTGTAAAAACGAGTAATGGTAATTTGAAGTCAAATAAAAAGATTTGAAATTGATATTTGAAAACGTCTGATTTTATACGTTTTGTTTTACTATGCCCCGCATTCGACGAAAGAATCCCGCTTTTTTCACCCAAAAAGTTACAAAGTCCCGACTTGACATTCTGCACATTAGCAAGTGCAGCACATAAACCGTTTAATTTTTGCGAACCATGATAAAAAATACGATTTTTTGTATAACCTACCTCCCTTGAAGCAAAGACACCCATCATTATCATCGTTCAACAAGTCTCTTCGGGAGCTCCTCGTATCTTTATTTTCCTCATTTATGCAGCGTTGATAGTAGTCGTAGTCTTTAAGATACCAAACAGGTGGCCATCGATGTTCCCGCAAATAGTCTTGGTTGTCGAGATGCAGGGCCTTGAGACCCTTCAGTGAAAACTTACAAATTATGTTGTAATTCACGCACAAGTAGGACATGCACCATTCCGCTAATTGATGTGCATTGTGCAGCTGTAATAAGACAACAGGAATGTTTTATAAAAACAGTAGCTTATTTTTTAATGTCTTCACCTTCACTGGCTCTAGTAGTTTTAAACAATGGTCCACAGTCTCATTAGTTTCCTTCTGAGAAATTATTGTGAGATCTTCGATAACGCGGCATTCAACTAAGTTGATTAAACGCAGCAAACATAAGCGGTTCGCTAATTCCAGAAGGTTCAGGCATTTCATCGGATCAGCCGAAATTGGCGGAATTTGATCAGTGTATAAATAACACAATAATTTATGGAATGTGTAGATTGTAACGCCGGGAAACATAATCTTTATAAAAATTGCATCGATAATATCAGTACGCATATTCATGTTCAAAGCTTTCCTACCACATTGCAATGTGCCTCTCGAAAATCACCAGAAAGCATTGCACGCATGACGTCACATCGTGCTACTAAAACCGCGCGGTGGGCTTTCATTTGACCGTCATCCAGCTGAAAAGTAACGTCGCTAAAGTAGTCGTTTCCAATACAATGTCGCTCCATACTTTCTTTGATGTGCTGCAGAAATCAGTAAATCGTAACATCTTATAAATGTATATAGCCTGATCTGTTCCAATGATATACTTACATGACAAACATAAGGATTTGATTCACCACTTCCATTACCCTCCGCTCTTTGTGGCTTAGAAAGTAATAAAGATAATTGCGGGAGCTCTAAGAACTCGGCGGCTTCCTTTATTTCCTAATTTTAAATTTAATTTTAAAATAAGTATATGATGTAGCTTTGGGGGTCCAAAGATAATTTATCCTTGCAAAAGTACACTTTTTGGCAAGTGCTGCTTCTCACATTTAGCACACTTAGCTCATTTCCACAAAAGCTCTATAGAACTTCGTAGAGAATAATGTTAGTGTACATTTTCAGTAGTACACACATCGAGATTGTCTATGTGAGTCTATGCACGTGTGCGTATGCAGAAATAAGGCAAAGCTGCTACAAAAACAACAGCTGCCAGCAGAGCTTAGGAAAAGACTATCAGGGGTGCCACAGAAATCTCTTCTGTCCAAGTTTCGCACCAAAACCTCTTGCGAGGTTTCTAATCTCGTTTGTTTGGATTAAAAACACTAACAAAGACATTTTTCGTGATGAAAAAAATCATTGGAATATAAACCTTATAGTTTTTCTGATCATTTTAGTGAATTAGGTCTTATTTTGTGATTTAAGCAAAAGTTACAAATAAAATATATATTTGACGCAATTCTTGTTTCAAATAAGTACTACATATCTATGCATTAATTAGGAAACTTAGCGCAAATGTGAATACTGTATGACCAGTATGTTAAGTAAGAGCGTCCGGAGGATTGCTTGCAATTATAATTCAGCCAACTACAAAAACTTTTAGCTAGAGCTTTTGTCTTCGGAGCTTTCATAAAAATATTGAATTCCATGTTGAGATTTTGAAGTATTGACATGTGCTTTGCAATGTATGCCCCGTTTGCTAAGTGTTTTGAGGTTATTTATCTATTTATGTCGACATAGGAAATAGTATATAAAAATCAAAAAAGAAATCTAATCAAATTACAATAATATCTAATTAACGTCTCCGACCCGGTGAGGGAATATTATTTGCCCTTCAGCTAGCTGTGCCCCGTCTCACAGCCAAGTGTGGTCAGAGGCGTCAATAGATCCACCGATAAAAAAAGAAAAACTTAACAGAGAGAAGAAGCTTAGAAATACTTAAAAACTAATCAAAAAAAAAAAAAAAAAGTGAGAAAAAAAAATTGGAATCTCAGACCCGGTGGGGGAATATTTTTTAGGCAGTCCCCGTCTCACAGCCGATCCTGATCAGAGATTCCGGAGATGGCTGAAATGAGAGGCTTTTATTATAGGAAGAGACAGTTCAGTTGATAGCAGGTGAAAATACTCATTGTAAGATGAGCATAAAACCCGAAAAGGGTTGTGCGATGCATAATCAGTTGTACACCTACTAAGAAAAAGGAGAAGATAATTTCTTGTCGTTCTGGAAGGAACTGAGAAATTAAGACCACCTAATAGGCAAGGAGATTCAACACTACCGGCAATCAGTTTGTGGAGAAATACAGCTCCAAGGACAGTCCTCCGCTTAGCCAATGACGGAAGATTAATAAGCAGAAGTCTGCTCGAGTAAGGCGGCAAACGAAGGTAGGGATCCCAGATTAAACCAGAATTGTTTCTGAACAGACTGAGTGCGATCCTGATGCGTTTTGTACTGCGGACACCAAACGCATGAGCGTTTTTAGGCCGTACCAGTCAACTGTAAATTAGTTTAGTGGTTAAGGATCATCAAATTTTTTGGACCAACGTTTAACGAATCCAAGAACGGCCTTAGCCTTGTTTATGATGCAAGAAATGTGAATGTGTGTGCAATAATTCATTGTCAATCGTATAGGTGACAAGATGAGGTCTGCTCCGATAAAAGGACATAAACTTTCATTTGGAGCAGTTAAGGTGTAACTGGTTAACCAAGCACCATCTCTGCATGCAGTTCAGATCATCCTGCAAACGGGTGGAAGAGAGGATTGTTATATGAAAGAATGAGCTTCACATCATCAGCATACATCAGAATGTGAGAACGTGACAGGATAGAAGCAAGGTCGTTTATAAAAAGAGTAAATATAAAATGTGGCAAGGTTGAGCCAGAAGGGATAAATGGGGAAACAAAAATTGCGAATCCAACCGGCGTTTTTCTGGAGACTCAAATTTATACTTGCTTATCAAGTCAATACTCAAATCGAAATCGCTGGCAAGTTTTTTTTTTGCAATTTTACAAATTGGGCTTTCACGCTGTTATACATACGTGAAAAATCAAATTGCATATCAATACATACCGGGCATGACCATTGCAAGCAGCCATTTTTGGCCTTAGCAACTACCTGGTCATGGTCACGACCGGTAAGCCCTACACACTTAATATGCATCATATTGTCACACAACCAGCAGCTAATATACTGCGGTTGAGCAACACCATAAGCATCCTTAATAGTGCAAGATTTTTTCAAAAACAAATATTAAATTCCCTCTGTGGCTAAAAACGGTGTAAAGTACAAGATAAACTGATAAGACTGAAGGCTACTGGCAGCAGCAAAAGCTCTACCACAAGAAATGTTAGAGAACGAAACACAACAAAGTGCGTAGGCGAGCTGTTAAAGAAAGGGAGCACGGAAACGAGCGTAGAAAAGAGGACACAATCACCAAAAATAGCCGTGACGCTGCGTAATTAAAATGTGTATAACACACAAAATTGCAGTGAAAAACTCATATCACAAAACGCAAAAGTCGGGCTTACCGCTTAGGCAACAAAATTCTACAAATTAGGCTGATATAAGAAAGATTTATCGCGAAAAATAATAAAGTAAAGGAGCGTATAAGAAACACGACTGACTCAACCGAACTTCTTCTAGATGATTATGTTCCTCTTTTATCACTCAAATGGTCTTACAATGTCTCATGTAGCAGCTGTAAAGTATATAAGATAGATAGAGAATTTGGTTCAGAAGTGGGTGAAGCGTTTTAAAGACTCAAAAAGTCTATGACCTTCCAAATCATGGGAAGGCTTTAAAAAAAAGACGGAAAACTGATTTTGGCGGCATTTTCAAGGAATCCCTTCTTATCTTTGCGTTAAGGACAAATAAAATTGCAGCAAAAGGGATTTGATATATATCACGTGACTATCCGGGAATATTTACGGGCAAATAATGGGAAATGGCGAAGCACAATGAAAAACCAATGCTCACTAAAAAATACGTCGAAAAACGTCCCGCATGGGCGTTGAGAATGCTCGCCGCGACTGGATTGACCATCACAGTCACAGTGGATATTTATAAAGAATAAACTTCAGGGAGAACGGCTATTAACTCGTCAGCAACTTTTCCGTCAAATTCGACAAATTTGGTCACTTCCAATCGAATATGGTGAACATTTGTTGGAAATCATGCCTCGCAGATGGTAACCGATTTTTGACTCTGGATGTCACTGGTATCAATATCAATTGTTAAGATTATGTGCAAAAAGTTGTTTAAAAATAAAGCAAATTACGCGGCAAATGATAATTTTTGCTAAACATAGATCACCACAACAGGACGCAATTTTTGTCCAGTTTATGGAAGTACACCCTGTAATTGCGCAAAATTCGAAACTATGTTATTAAAAATGTAAAATAAATGTAATTTTTAATAAGTAACATTCTTTTGTGGGATCAGATGCGCTTGTTAAACATTTGTGTTGTATTTTTCAACAATTAATTGGCGTATCCGCAAATGTCGCGGGCTAATATTAATGCAAATAGCATATCTAGCACAATTAGTCTGTCAAATGTACTCGTCGACAGTCAGCTGTTGCTGACAGCTGAGGGCGTTACAGGATTTATATAGGATTAGGATATAGGATTGTTACCTATCTTGATAAAACCTAAGATGAGGTCATAAACTAACTGGATGTAATTTGGGTAAAAATTCAAAGAATTATAGAAAATCACTAACTGCATGGGAGTGGAGGAAAAACTAACTAACTACTAAGTTTGGTCGCTCTAACTCTTATATTTTCTGAGGTCCTTGCGTTTGTATAGGCGGACGGACATAGCCTTATCGACTCGTCTTGTAATACTGATCAAGAATATATATACATACTGTACTAGCAATTATACATATATTTATTTTTCTCTATATACAGTATGTTAAGTAAGAGCGTGTGGCGCGTAAACCGAAAACGCTTTATTTTTAATTAACTTTTTGCACATAACTCGATTGCATTAATATTGATACCATTCACATCCAGAGTCATTAATCGCAAGGCATGATTTCCATCAAATTTTCAGCATATTCGAGTGGAAGCGAATTTGACGAACAAATTGCTGAAGAGTTAATAGGCGTTTTCCCTGAATGTGATGGTCAACCGAAAGTGACGATGCCATTTTGCAGTTAGTGCAAAGGCGGATAGTTATCCTTCAGCTGGATCCATTCGACCATTCCATTTTTACAGTAATTGTCATTTGGCAGTTGGCTCAAAGATGAACTCTTATTGGGTGATTAACGGGTCGCTGGATAAATTGGCTTGGCGCAGAACACTAGGCCATTGTATGGTCCCAAGTCCCCAAATAGCGCAGTTAAATTAGCCCCTTTGGAGCTTGAATTTGCCAAAAGCCTTTCTTAGCGCGCACCTACACCATGATAGATACTATGCAATGATACTTGAGTCCACTGTCAATGCCCATCTCAATTTGCTAGAGAACTCCCCCCGCCCCCGCTTACTCAGTCGATGTCTAGCGATGGTAACTCTTAACCTAAAGCAATTGAAAGGCGTAGATGATCGAAAAAAGAGAACGAAAGAATAAGAGCGTGCCCATAATCGCAGTTGCCGTTGTTGATTTTCGTTTTCAAAATTTAATTACTGATTTAAAACCATAGGACACTATTTATTACACTTGACCGTATCATGACGCATGGGCCACGCATGTGCATATGAAGCCTAGAAATCCGCCGCCAGAAACGGGCGGACCTCCATTGGTATTTAGTGTCATTGGGCTTTCATCGGTGTGAGTCGAGGTACATCCGGCTTTTAAAAGCTAAACAAAAACACCTCCAACGGGTCTGACAACTAATACCAGATTGGAGAAATGGCAACTCTATCTCCAGAAATGGATTCGCTGCTTACTAAGCAGGCATCGCTGGGTGAAGAAATTCCAACCCTGATAAGGAATTACAAAAAGG